ATTTTCGCGAGTATAAAATGCTTAACAATTTTGTGTCGCAATTAGCGCTGTGGTTTAACACTCGTGAATTCGTGACCGATTATCGTAATTGGGCTTAAATATTTAAATCGAAGTATATAGTTACCTACAGAACGTTTGGATGACGTTTATATTTATTTCTATAACCATTAATCCTAATACTTGCTTCTTTCAAATCAATTTCTTTTTTCTTTCAACTAAAAAAAACTACTTACATAACAAGTAACAACGAACCTAAAATTAGTAACGTCTTCATTAAGAGAGGTCTACGAAGCGACGTGACTACGGAGCTATGGAGCTACGCTACAAGAAGTTGGCTACGAAACGCTACGAAGCGTAGAGGTGCCGCAAAAACTGTGCAACTGGGACAAAAACCCAGCGAACTGTTAAACAGATTTCGTCTTATGATCATTTGTGAACATATAGCACGTTCTTATTTGGACCGAGAGACTTGAATGGGAATTTACGACCTTCGGGGAATTTCAATTGAATATGTGTATAGTTCACTATTGTAGTAACTATGTATTATGTAAATTATGAATGCTATGCTTCGGTACAAATGGGTCGGCTCGACTAATACCACGGCTTTACAGAAAACCAGCATGAAACTACCAATGCATTGTATTTGGTATTTCATATCAGTGAGATCACCGAAGACCCAATCCTTCTGCCTCAATGTTGCAAAAATTATGATTTTTTGCAATCCCACTGATACATTGTTTTAATCCAATATTGAATTCGATGTTTAAGACATTTATCTACATATTTACAATTTAACACTGTATCATAATGGAAATATGCCAATTTCAATTACCTGGTATAATAGTAGGAAAGAACTATCGACACACGTATAAAACCATTTTTAAAATCATGGACGAATGAATAAATTTCGTGCTTGTTACTGAAATTGACTATATTGTTAAAGCAGTAGTTAGATGGCCGGCTGCTAAGTAACGCGTCGTGAGTTCGATCCTAGAACGAAATATTTCGCTGTTCAATCTACAAATTATATATCAGGGACTGGTTTTGTTTACCGAGGGCCGGGTGCGCTGTTATAGCAGTGGTACGGCCCCTCTTTGAGGAGTGGCTTGAGAAAAACCATGGAGTCCTCAACTTCCGCCACACGCAGGTGCTTACCGGGCATGGCAGCTCCGGTAGGTTCATGATTCAGATCTGGTCCCCTAGATCCGAATCGTGTCCAGGAAACGCCCAGTTGTTGTTATTATGAGGACCACCCAGAGGGCTCGATAGTGCATACGGTAGCGGAGTGTCCTGCTTGGGCTGCGCACCGCCGTGTCCTCAAGGAACTGATCGGTTGCGGCGACCTCTCAAGTCTGTCCTTAGTTGAAGCTATAGTATCAAGTGAGATGAACTGGGAAGCTGTCTCCTCCTTTGCGAGCATCACTTCGCTGCTCGCAAAAAAGGAGGCGGAAGCGTGTGGAATAATTACTATTCTCTTTGCGCCCCAGCCGCCGCAGCAGGCGGCGAGCAAGGGTAACTCGCCGTCCGATCAGAACGAGACCCGAGCGTACGGCGCGTAGAGTTCAACGCAAGCCTCAAAGAGCTAATAGACTACCACAAACGGGGCCCTACATGGCCGTTGTTCAGTCGGGGTCGCCACACGCGGTGACATTCCCTCTCGCCATTCCCTGGATGAGAAAAGTGATTTGATGATTTTCCCCTCATGAAAATTGGGAATGGTTGTGTTTGTAAAAGAATAACACAGAAGTCAATCATTTTGATTTTGCCTTAACTAACACTAGGATTTTCTCCTGTGTCGTGGGTGCGTATATCATCTTACAATTTCACATACACTTGTTTCGTGCGGGAATCCAAATCGCGACACTATGCACGGCAGCCAGTTAACGGGCCAACTATGCAGTCAAGCATGAGAAACTTATCCCGCTTTTACCAACATTATCACCAATTGAATCTAAGTAAAAGTTGTGACATACATCGACCTAAACGTTCTTTCAAAACATAACATCTAAAGGATGATGGCGTGGGCGTTATGAGCGATCATTCACGGTCTCGTGGTCACTAAGGACTCGTTAAAAACCGCGCGCCTAACATCCGCCCGTGCTAATGCACAAACACAAGTTTAACAATAGGTCTAAAAATCGGTGCGCCTTTAAGCACTTATTATATGTAATAGGGCTAATGCCAACTGGGGTTGCGAATACAAGTGTTATAATGTACCACGGCCTGTAAACGAACGGATTAGTTTTTAGTCAGTAAAAGCTTTACAAGTTGACACTCCTCGCCCCAGCCTGGGCCGGAGAAGTCATTTCACAGTTTTTCCCAATAAAAAAAGGCATTTTCCGACACCACTACCTTGTTGCACTAAGGGCCTGATGCACAGTGTCTGAGTAGCCACTTTGTAAGAGATTAATTTGAATATGGAACACTATTTCACACAGTCTCAGCACTCAACCAATTTTTATTTTGATTCTCGCATTTTTTATGTGATTAGTCGACAAACGAGCAGAGTGATCACCGCTCATGGATCATGGACACTCGTAATACTAAGGGAGTTACTACAAGTGCGTTGCTGACCTCTTGTCGATTGTTAGAGATTTAAGCATAGGGGATTCGAAGTTGGGGAGAGGATGGGGGTGAAGGATTGGTCCTCCGGTAACCTCACTCACACGGCAAACACTACGTGTTATTTCACGGTGCATACCAAATTACTGTGCAGACTGCATGTGTGTATTTTTATTCAAAATCTTCTTACTTTAGATCAGCATGGGTTCGTTTGCTTGAAATAATTACGAACAACAATTTAAGTTACAAAGTTTATTGAAAGGTAAGAATGTCTTTTATTTGAGTCGTAATCTATTACACATTTATTGAATACTTAGATAAACATTTGGTACACACATCTAAAACATTTAATTGAATCCATTTATATTGGCAATTGAGAATCGTAGTTCATACATAACCATCTTAGATCTATAGGCCACCTACTATTTATTGATATACCTAAACATTTTCTCATAAAATGGCATAATAATAATTGTTGTCAATCATTATTTATTTCAGAAATACATCGCAAAGAAGAACGCGTGTTATATATCCGAATTTAAATAAAAAAAGCAACACTTAAAATAAAATGCGCGCGAAAACATACAAACCTTTCGGCATTGACATTCTTATATTTATCAGCTGTCAGACGAACAACCAATCAGGAACAGGTATCGTATCCGCCATAGTTGATTATAATGACATTATAGATAGGTAGATATAAAAAATCTAGTTATATTTATAAAAATCAACCTAAAATCACAGTGTAATTGGGCGTAGCTAAAATTAAGCATAATTTGGTGCCATCCACCACTCAAAGCTCGCCGAACCCTAGATATTTCCTTCCTCACATTTAACTAAGAGGAACATGGACAGTTACTACTTATTGGGTCTAAGTATGTCTACTGATACTAAATATAATGTTTATGTTATATTACGAATACATTTCAATGAATTTCTATATATTGATCGCATTATTCATAAAAACTCGATAACCCAAATGGCTAAATTCTATGAGGGTACACACCTACAAATAGTAAACCGAAGACTCTGTCTCCCTATTCAGAGAAATATTTCGACTTGATTTAATAATCTTATTTTAAGAGGCAGAACTATACTAAAAAGGGTTACTTGTCCTTATAAATAATGCCATTATTATTCTATGTAAACACAGACTGCTTGTATAACATACTTCACAATAGACAAACCAATATTCAAATCTTTAAAAAAATGTTAAACCAGAATGTTACTCGTCATAATGTTTGTATATTACATTTCCTGCGGGAAGAAGTTAATTTTTGCGGAAAAACGCTGGAGATATCAACAAAAATATATTGTGCGTTAATTGACTGTATATTACCCAGTCTGGATTTACATAATCATATAACAATAAGAATAATAATTACAATAAATATTTTAACTAGGTCAAGAATACATTACCGACAATACACCTAAGATACATTATTGATCATCAGTCAATGTTTTATAAAATATTACCCTTTATATTTATTATTCATAGCTTCTTACTATAACAGTATCAATACTACAATGATATATTGACATTATTTCTAAATATAAATACTTTTGTGCACATTGCAATTAAAAATATTTGCTTCAATTCCATACAATGCCGCATGTCACTTCAAATCCAATATTTTACAATCTATCTATACCGAAAAAGCAAAGTTTATTAAAATCAGCACAGCAGTGTAGACAAGGCAACAGAATCCACTCATTTCATTGATTACTTCATATGAATATTTTATAAGTTACATCAAATGTGTTAAAAAAAAACATAACTAATCTTTTAGAACATGATAAATTAGGATTTTTATTTACACCTCTAATATTCAAATACTATCTCATATTGATTTTATCAAATTTTATTACATTGTCATCAACCTGATTTCGTCCACTGCAAGACATAGGCCTCCCCAATTGACAATAATAAATAATTTATTAATACCTAATATCTTTTTTAATTGCAGTATACACATCCCTATAGTAATATATGCTGTTCTAAACAGTGTCACACACATATATATCTAGATGCTAAACAGAGATCTACATTAGCATAATATAAATTTATACTACTATATCTATCTTCTAGATAAAAGATATTACATTGATACATAAATATAATTAAATTAAATACATAACAAACTTTTTACTTTCTTCCTAAATCAAAACTTTGAATAAATACCCGAAAAATGCATAAATTTTTAAATATGATGATTATTGTTTGTCACTATTTTTATTTTAAATCATAAATTCTATTAATATTTATTATAATAAAGATAAATACTACTTAAACCTGAGGTGCAATAACAAAACAAAAGTATACTTACAAGTGTGATACTTGACTAGAATGTTTTATGGATAGTTATCACAAGTAAATTATAATTATTTAATAACAAAATTATATTGTATGGAGCTCAAGTAAAGTGATCAATGAGTCAATTGTTTTAAATTAAAACTGCACTTATTTGATAGACAATTGCTATTGGTTTGTCTGTAACTACAACCTCTATGCTGCTCTATGATGCAAAGCTCCAGTCCAGTCTCAAGTTTAAAAAGAAAAGATAGCAGTTTAATAATGTGCGGCTAAGCCATGTACGCACTTTAAATAGTTCTCGTGTCTACCAGCATGCTTGTCCATATCTTTTCGCCTTTCAGCTACTACTTCCTTTTCATGTTGAATCAAAATTTTAAATAGTGGACAATGGTACACCCAGTCTAGCTCCTTTTTCGTTACTTCGCTATACCTACTGCCACATTTTTTGCATTTCTGTAATGCTTCCATCTGATCCGGCGATAGTTTCTTCCTAGCCAGTTTGCCATTAACCCTTTCTATTTCAAAGAAGTCATACATAGTAGTCAAGATCTCGGTCACTATAAATCGCCGATGGTACCAAAGAGCCTCATGATATTTGTAATACTTCACAAAGTCATTGTTTTGTGTTAGCTCATAGATGTAAATTTCTATTTTTCTGCATGTTTCATAGAATTTAGTGTAGCAACTGCATTCATTGGGAACATAGTCAAATAGGTAAGCAATAATGTCTTCATCCTCAATAGTCTTCTTAAAGCTTTTGCTAGTCTTCTGAGCTGGATCACGAGTTTCTATGAACTTCTGAACATTCTCACGCAAGTCAGCCTCAAGCATTTTCTCAAATACTGGCCATCTTTCATCTAGTAGGTTAAGCTTCTTGAGACAATACTGCCGGTAATGAAAGCAGCTGTAATCTGAGACATGATGACCAGTCCAACTCACAATGAATTTGTATTCATTGTAGAAAATGAGAGTACTGTCAACCTCAGCCCTATACTTCCATGCAAACTCCAGTGCCCACCTGCGATGATCCCAACTATGGTAGTTATTTGGGCACTTGTCTGCAGTCATAGTGCAGACTTCCAATTCATCTTCTAATATTGTACTCACAAAGTGCGGTGGGCGCTCAGATGTTTCTGAAAGTAATTATAATTAAAGATAAAATTTTTATAATCAGTATCTTGATGTTTATGTTGTAATGGCTAAGGTAACCTAACATAGAGTTACTTAAAGATGAAACAGTATTTGCATGTACAAAATATTTAGCTTGAATGTTGCATATGGCTAGAATAACTATTAAGGTACTATAATTTTATACTTAGAAATGATCCGTAGTGAGCAAATAACAGTATGATAATATTGTAATATCAAAGAAGTAACATACCTCTCATCACATGATCAATCACAAATCTCCGGTATGAAAAGGCATCATTACATTTTGGTTTCCGTGAAAGCACCAGTCTAGTAAACTGCATCTCTGCAACCCAGTCCAGAAACCTCTTAGACATCAATTCCCTTCTCTTATTCCATAGTGTAGTCACATCAGGATTGATCAGAAGTGTAGGATTCAAAAGCAACATGATTCTTTTGTAGGTCAGACTTGATACCCTACTGAGTCGCCGCTTTGGATGCGTCAGGAAATCCTCTATCAAGTCCCCGTAGCAGTAATTATATACATGTTTCACACACCACGATTCCAAAGCTACTGAGGAGTTCACATGCAACACCGGAGTCTTGTTCTTTGTTGACTCCACGGGCACAATATCGAACTCAGTTCTGTAAAAACACAAAGGATTAACGCTAACTCATATTAGTAAATATATCTATTTGAAAATTTGCCAAATTTAAGTAAATATTTACAGTGGTGTTTTAGCTAGAACATTATCCAGCTCTTTTATTATTTTCTCCACAAGTCCGTTGTGGAAGTCGTCCATTGTTGCAACTTTCGACTTTCACTTGAGTTATTGTATTTCAAGAAATAATTAATTTATTAGAAAGGAAGAATTTTATTAAACCACGTACTCCTAATATTTTGAAATGTCAACATTGCTGAAATGTCACCTTTCTTTGCATTGATTAAAACCATAGACTGTTCGCTTTTTAGGTGAATGTATTGATTTCTCATTGAATAACACTATGGTTTTTGAGTACATCACAGTTTATAGTAAATTACATAAACATTGAAAAATTCAAAGAAGTATGCAAGAAGAAGTATCCAAATAATACGATTTACCAAAAAAAAAATTTTGTTGCGTAGAAAACTCTCCGTTTATATTCAAAAAAGATCTTATTCTTTAATATTGATTGGGTTTCGGTTGCAAATACCTACCTATATAAAATACTATACTAAGTATTCTATCCTATATTATCTTACTTTGTTTCTGTAAAATGTGGGGTGTTGCCTGTCACGATTAACTTGTTGCTTGTTTTTTGCATTCAAAAGTGTCCCTTGGTCACCCAAAGGAGATTTTACTTATGACTACGAACAAAAATTGTTATAGAAAAATCGATGTATAAAATATGTAGATATCTATCCTAGACATCACCATCATCATCATTATCTAAGTTTACCCTCTTCTTACACGGAGAGGATTTAAGCATATGTAATGTTTTGGCAAGGATGTCTTTTGAGGAGTGGCTTGAGAGACGCCACGGCGTCCTCACAGCAGGCGTAGTGTAGGTTCCTGTTTCGGATTCGGCAGAAGGAAACTCCCGAGTGTCGTCATTGTAAGGACCACTCAAAGGACATGGTAGAGCATAGGGAAGCGATGTGTCCTGCTTGGCACCGTGTCCTTAAGGAAGTGATCGGTCGAGGCCATGGTCCGAAGCAAGAGGAACTGGGAGGCCGTTCCGCCTCTTTCTGTGCTGCGCCTCCTTCTTCGCAAGCATCGAGCTCACTATCTTCCTCCTCACGTCCCAGCCACCGCAGTAGGCAACACTCCAAACGTCGGGGATCGAGAGACGATCTCCGGCCACCGTAAGCGTAGCATAGCGTTCCGCGTGTACCTCAAAGAGCCAAGACCGCGGAGCCACATTGCGCTTACCCCGCAATCCCGGCTGAACCATCAGCCCTGTGTGGTAGTAAAAAACCCATAAAAGAGTTTCTCTAATTTATGAATATTGAATATACTGTAATGTAAACTGATCGTGCTGTAATGTAAATGATGCGTGATCTGCACTATACATAATTCAATACATAGATTGTCGATGCATTTTATTTATAATTCAGTAGAATTTTAAAGAAAGCAATCGGTGCTTGATCTTTCTGAGCTAGGATTTTGTAAGTGCTGATAATACTGATATAAAGAAGGTACGTACGTACGTCTCACCTGACAATGGATTTAGTTTTAGATAATCAGTAAACACTTTTATTGTTTAAATTGATATTTATGGAGGTAGATACAAACCTTTTACTACAAGACTGCTATTAGCACTCCAAAAAAGATTAACTTAGTTACTTTTAACTGTCAATTATTAGTTAATGAGTTAGGTAATTGACAACAAAAAATTCGTCAGTAGTCAGGCAGACGCAGAAATGTAAGTAGGTATCTGCATATGTGCAAGAAATAGAAAAACTGGATATATATCACCGCAGCTTCGGCCTAGAGCAGGAGAAGGACACGGTTTTTAGACAGTAAGTCTGACACTCTCCCGACCTTGGGTGGAAGAAGTAATTTTATGATTTAAAAAAAAATATGTAGATTATTTCTTTACACACAAAACCTTATTCTTATTGCTTGCAGGACGTTCGCCAATACTGAAGCATACATATAGTTGGATTCCTAATGAAATTGGACTAATACTTACCTACTGTTTAGTCGCTTTCTTTGTCCCTATAGGTATACCTATGTATGTTAAAATCTTCAATAATTTTGATGATCAACGGATTATTATGTGGCTGTTTTAATAGAAAGATGTGATAATAAGACACTCGTGCGAAACTGGGGCTTAATATTATAAATTTGGTTTCTTTAAAAACACATCTACAACTGATGAAGTGTGAAATGTGTTTTTTTCTGACAATACTGTACTGTTTAAATGATAAGTACCTACTAATATTTATCTCGTTTGCTTGTGGTCAGATTACAAACTGCTGTGTATGCCGCAATATCATATCTCTAAATATACTAGGTAGGTACCTAATAAAATATTTAAATAAGCAGTAAACTCACGACAAAGCAACAAACAAGTTCCTACTAGAAAATTGGCACACCTATTTAATGTTATTATACTTTGTACTAATGTTATAAAGAGATAATATTTGTAAGTTTGTATTATAGGAAGTAATCTTCGGAACCACTGGTTGGATTCCCAAAATTTCACTTATTGATAGCTACAATGTTCCCGAGTGCTATAAAACATCTCGCTACAATCAAATGGAGCCGAGCAGCGAGTGAAACCGCGCGGGAGTAGCTAGTATGTTATATATAGGCAGGTACATTATGTTTCGAAATTATTTTGTTTATCTACATCTATTAAAACATCGATCTTGATAATCGTAACGTACCTAATAATCCGTATTTGCTTAAGTCAGCATGACAAAGCAGTACCTAAAAAATGCATTGTGTTTCGTGATTGTCACACCCACATTATTACCTACATAAAAATGTGATATTGTTATGATAATCGCAGTGCATTTTTTGTTGTGTCTACTATTTTTTATTGTGGAGCTAATGGATGCAGGTGGCAACTTGTCGTTCGACGTGGAGAGCTAAGGGGGAGGCCTTTGTCCAGCAGTGGACGTCTTCCGGCTGATGATGATGATGATGATAATGATGACTATCGCGAAGAAGGTACGCACTATAAAAATGCAGTGTGATTATTGGACCTTTGTAGATTATAATAATAACTAGGATTATTGAGATTATGTTTTATTAACAAATTAGTAACGGTACTGATAGTTAGTTTTTGTCCGATAAGGTTATTGTTGTACTAAAACTCAAGGGCGGATCCACCGTTGTGGGCACGATGGGCATGCCCACAACCTACAAAAACACACATAGGTTTGGATCGAAACTGACTATTAGAAATTAGAAGAAATCGTGTCCGTCTGATCGTTTGCCGTCCTATCACATAAAAAAAACTTCTTCCTAAGTTTATTTACTTTCCTAAGGCCAAAGTCCTGATGCTCAGAAAAAAGGAAATCTAATTCATAAGTTCATAAACGATTTGCATGATTGTTAATGAGCATGTCCATGCTCCGACTCGTACTTAGCCGATTTTCTAGTAGCTGTGACCACAACCTTTTTTGAAGGCTGAATCCGCGCTTGCTAAAACTAGTATATCTATGGAGACTGTGTATCTGGCTGAAACTCAAACTGATAGAGTAGGGCAAAGTCGTCCTTTTGTCAATTAGAAAACTAGTAGTTCTCAAAAAAATTAAGTAGATATGGTAATTATAAATATCACTTTTATTTAATAGCATTACACTTAAAAAAATTACTTAACAACATATTATATTAAATATATTTGGGTTTATTAGGCACGTCTCCCTTAAATGTCCTTATCACCAAAATACCGGCAACGCACTAGTCACTCTTTTGGTGTTGCGGATGTCCATGGGCGGCGCCGATTGCTTACCATCAGGTAATCCGTTCCATCCGCTCATTTGCCGTACTACCACATAACAAAAATTGTGTTTATACTATTCCATCATAACTTTATCGAATGCTGCATAGGCGCTATCGATGATTGGTGTTATGTCCTTGGCTGGTTTGTTGTTGTTAGCCAACCAGACGGATCCTGGAGCTCCATTTTGGAACATGTATAGTGAAGCTGCAACTGCTGATTCTGGTCTGAAAAATTGGACAAAAATCACGCATAAAGAAACTGTTACCGTCTAGCCGTAAATGATACTACAAAAAAAAATCGAATAGATGTGTGTATTTGTATTTCTGGTCGTATTTGATTACCACAAAGGTGAAAATCTTTGCCTTAAACCAGGACACGTAAGCAATCCTATTGTCTTGGTTGATCGAAATGTTACCGCTAGTTACGTAGCAGAAAAACTGACAACTAGATATCGAAAACCATATTCGAAGGGTACCAGAAATACATATAAGTATCTATCCAGCCAAGCCACTAACAATCAAATTGAAGCTATAATAAAGATGATGTTCAAACACATCAAAGAACAAAAATCAACTTACTTTTGGAATATGATTCCTTGAGTTTCAACGGTCTGAACTAAAAGCCTTCCAACTTTGGGGTCGTATGCTTTTGTTTCCAGGTTATGTAGTAAAGGTGTATCAGTGGCTCCAAGACATTTTGTGAGGATTCGAATGCCCGTAAGGTCATAGAATGGTTCCATCTGCAATTAAAAAGGTTTAATCTATACCTCGCTCTTGTTGTCGTTGGAATATGAAAATTTTGAGTAAGTTTCTCTATAATATCAGCAACACAGTCCCTAGTGCACTTATTTCGCAGACTCACGGTTAAACATTGACCGAAGTGTAGAACAGCCATTTTGCTACCGCTGTAGATAGGCAATGCTCCAGGTTTTCCTAGAGCAGCAGTTGAAGATATGTTGATGATGGTACCACCAGCTCCGCCCTCATCCTTCCTCATGTGACTGATGCCTTTCATTGTAAAGGAGACCAATCCTTGCTGGGAAAGCGAGAAAATTAAGAATATGTAGTACATGTCAACATTACCAGTTTTTAGAGATACTTCCAAAGAGATTAACAGAGAAATATTTCAAAATTAAAGAAGATTAGAAATATTATAATTTCAAATTGGCATGATAGATAGAGAACCCAATATAATATAATAATACCCAATCCTTCCCCTTCCCGGACCCTTCCCCAATCCCTAAATCTCCAAATCCCTAATCCCTAAAAGGTCGGCAACGCACTCGTTACTCCTCCGTTGCGGGTGTCCATGGGCGGCGTTGATTGCTTACCATCAGGTAATCCGTCTGCTCGTTTGTCGACTTATTACATAAAAAAATGATAGAATTGATGAGATCTAATCTTGGATTGATAAATGGAGAACCCTTTACCCTCTAAGTAGGTACTGAAAAAATCTTGAATAAAATTGTATTATTAAGTAAATTTATAAATTTCAGTTCAGTCGTGTGGCCTGGAGGTTAAGGGGCTTTAACCTCCACTTCTCTTGCACACAGGTTTAAGACCTGCCAAAAACCAATGTAACTTTTTTCCAGATATATGTACTTTCTATGATTATTTAGACACTACTCACATACGGTAAAGGAAATACCGTGGAGAAACCTGGTCCTATTTTTACAATGTCTAAATATAAGTTTGAAACTTGTTTGAAATCGCCAATCCGCCTTGAGCAAGGGTGGTAATTAATGCTCAAACCTTCTCCAGATGAGAAGAGGCCTTTGCTCAGCAGTGCGAAGTCATAGGCTGTTGATGTATGATGTATGTATGTATGGAGAATGATTTACCCAATTGACATCAGAAGCAGTTCTCCACATGTTAAGAGTGTCAACCATGATACCAGCATTGTTGATGATGACGTCAACCTGCTTGAACTGAGCGAGCACGGCGTCCCACGCGCTCACGATGTCCTCCTCCTTGCTCACGTCACATTTCACGAATATCACTTTATTGCCATAACTTTTGTTAAGGCGTTCAACTGTCGCTGTGCCAGTCTCCACAGCAATATCTAAAATGGCTACACTCTGTAAAATAATAATTTATGATAAAGTAGTACCTATTTAAATAGTTTCAAACCAAAATGCGATAAAAATTTTAACTTAAGAATGCTTCAGGTTTACCACATGGTCAACTACCTACATCGAGTAAAACGCTTAGAGCCTGATGAAACACAGAATTCAAATGAAAATTCCTTATTCTATTACCTACAGGTACATGTGTATCTACATATATTTTTATCAAAGAATATGTGTATGTATTTGTAAATATACTTATAAAAGGATTAAGTAAGTTATTACCTTTGCCCCATTCTTGAGAAAAGCCTCAGCGTATAAAGACCCCAAGCCAGACGCTCCTCCGGTTATCAAAAAAGTCTTTCCCTGGACTTCCCACTTTGCCATTTTAATGGAATATTTGTAAACTTTCTAATATTTTTTAAACTCAGTTTTTACTTATATACTCACACCTTATCTTAGTAAACATCGGATGTGTTTATCAAATTTTCATATCTGTTCGTTGTTGGTAGATTAAGTTATTTCACGTATTCATATCTTTATGAAAACACATTCACGATATTTGTCTTATAAGGCTATGTGCCTACCCGCCAGATGTTTAATAATATTTCAAAAATACATTTTTTTTTATCCATGCCATTTGCCATCACACTTTTATTCTTTTATTCTTTTCGGCGGCGGTCGGAATTGCACCTAAAGTTACTTGAATGCTTATCATTATCATACATATTCTTTGTGAGTTTTGTATATACTCTTTGTTCCATTATTTATCAATCCATGACTTTTATCCTATCTTATTACAATCATAAATCATGACGATCATGATCAATGAATTCGCCCGGGATCTCAGACCCTACAACAGTCATGATAAATCTGGTTGACTAACTACAATAACCGAGCTAAGGTCATTCACCATCACCGATAATCATCGGAAGTCCTTTTTTTATGTAATAGTAATAGGCAAACGAGCAGACGGATAACCTGATGGTAAGCAATCAGCGCCGCCCGTGGACACCCGCAACGGAGGAGTTACGAGTGCGTTGCCGACCTTTTAAGGATTACGGATTTGGAGACTCAGGGATTGAAGAGAGATTGGGGGAGGGGAAGGATTGGGCCTCCGGTAACCTCACTCACACGACGAAACACAACGCTGTGGTTGTTTCACGCCGGTTTTCTGTGAGGCCGTGGTATCACTCCGGTCGAGCCGACCTATTCGTGCCGAAGCATGGCTCTCCCAAACTTCCTTTAGCGGCATTCGATAAAATTACGATGGATATACCTACTAATGTTACAATAAGTTTTAATTTTATAGCGCGACAAAAATAGCATTTTAAAAACAAAATGGCGGTCACACCTGTAGGTGAAGGTGACATCTTTGTTTATTAGGTCTTATCAACCTAATAAATACAGGACAAAATCCGCTCAGTAATCATTCTGATACTTTTATTCCCTCATTAAATTAGAAATCCACTTAATTATACTAAAATTAGCGTTGGTCTTGACCACGGTCTTCGCACCAACGCTCATTTGCACGGCAGTTGCAAATCTGACTTGTCTGATTTCAGCCACTGTAGATAAACTGCCAAGCCAAGTTCAGTAGGTACCCAGTGCACGAAAAACTTCTATTTCTTATGATAGGATTCCAATTTCGCTCATTGGTTTTAGGAAACTGTTCGGAAAGAGAGAATGAAGGAAGGCCTTTTTTATATTGTAGAAACATGTTTATTCAAATAAATAATTTACAAAAAAATAAGTATATAATTTACATTTACGTAAGTACGGATACTTTTTTTGTGAGGGGAAAATCATCAAATGACTTCTTCCGCCCAGGGTGGGGCGGGAGTGTCGGACTCTTACTGACTAAAAAAGCCCCCGTTTCTTCTCCTGCTCTGGGCCGAGGTCGCGGTGCCTCATTACGCTTAAATACGGACGCTATGAGTGCAAAAGAAGCTTCTCGAAGTCCTTGAAAGCATTATCAATAGTTGGAGTAATGTTTTGGCCAGGTTTATCATCCACAGACAGCCAAACTGAACCAGGAGGGCCACATTTGTACATATGCACTAGGACTTCAACCGCTGATTCTGGTCTGCAAATAGAACATAATGATGATTAAATTCCAACATTTTTAGCAGGATCGAACAAATCGCTTTAAATATTTTTGATCAGCAGGGTTCCCAGAGTTTGAAAGTTGCCAGATATAATGGTAATAAATTCTTAATTTCTGCACACTGGAAGATTAGAGGAAATTCAGCGGCAACTAATCGCAATAAAAATTATTGCCGAAATTCAACCAACAGGCTTCATCGAACAATTAGTTTAAGGAAATTTAAAATATTAATATGTTAATAGAAGTAAATATATCTAGATAAGTAGTTTCCAAGATTTTACTAAAATAATTAAAATACGTAGTCATTGATCAATTACAATTACAATCATTCTACAATAGGAAATAAATTCCTTGAGATCATAAAAACATTTTTCTTTTTACCACTGCGTCTTTTTTTTAAACTTAATTAAAATTAATTCTTTATTAACCTTGGGTAATTTATTATACACCTTTATCATATTCGCCTAAGAGTTATTTTTGTAAATATACAATTCAAGCTTGCATCGTGGTAAATATAACACTTATTTCTGGGTGCTGTATGTCGTTTCGTAATATCTTCGATCCTAAAAAATAATTTCGGATGTTGTTGATAGGCATAATACTTTGATGTACGCACACAGTAAGTAATGGCAAAACGTTGTACTTTTACATTTTTTTTTATTTATTTATTTAACTCTTTATTTCAGGCTACTAAGGCCCATAAACACTATACATAAATAACAATCTAAAAAACAATAAACTAATACATAAAAAACATTTTACAAAGTTGTTAGTATATAAAAACTTAAACCTATGTAGTAACACTTCACTATGCACTATGTCACTGTGCGGTCCTGTGGCACTTGACCGCGGAAGCGACGGAAAACCACGTCCTGTGACCAGAAGCTCTAGTTCAACACGAGGTGCAGGAGACACGTGGGCACTCGCACCACGAACGCCTTGAAGTTGGCGTTATGGCGCGACTCCAGCAGCTGCACTCAAGGGGCGTACTTCAGCTTCTGACGTACGTACTCCATTAAACAACAGATAGGTAATTGTTCAAGACTCCTCAGATTGTACGCACACATTTCCTTTTGTTCTCTAAGGCCATATAATATCCACCGAATTATATCGTATGTTATTGTCTATATATTATGTATCGTACCGTGCCGTATCGAAATCTTACCATAATAGCGTATCCGTGATAGGCACACAAAGCAGCTTCTGTAAATACAGTAACTCTTGGTATTTTTATGGCATACCTAGAGAAATCTGTCGAGTTTGTCACAAATGTAAACTATGTCCTTTTCCGTTGCAGTTATGATCCAACATTATACCCAGAAATTAAGTAGTAGACCTTAAGCAAGCGTTTTAATATATTATTAAAAAATTATTGTCAGTGATTTTCTGTATTTGTATAATTAAAATTAATTTAATATCATATGTATGAAATAGTATAAGTTTTGTCATCTCTGTATTAATTTGTAAATTATTAGAATTTAGTCAACATATGTTGTATAATGTATTTCCGATTCATATCAAATCAAATCAAAATCATTTATTCCAACTAAACCATAAATAGGTACTTTTGAAACGTCAAAATAGAATAGTAGTCTGTCAGTCTGTTCGTCAGTGAAGCTAGGTGCTCGTTCCAAATTTTAGTTTCGAATGGAGAAGAACGAGCAAGAAACTCCATCGTTACTCTTTTTAAAAAAAAAATTGTTTTACAATTCACCAATAATACATTTTTATACATTACTGTACCCCTGTGAGAACAATGCAGAGACAAGTTGTTAATAAAAAGGAACAAATAATGGTCTGTCTAATCTATCATTAAAATTTTAATCCTTTGTTGTCTCGAACATGGCGCTCACATAAGCGTACTCACAATCCAAAAGAATGCTTCAATATAAACTCATTCAAGGTTTCATTAATTTTGAGAATTTTAATAACTACTGACTACATATTTGAGAATTGTCCAGGGGAGCCGAACCAACATGCTGCCAGGCATTCTTATCCTCAATATAATCTGAAAGTTTGCAGTATGCCTGTCTACATAATTCGCGTTTAATATAAGTTTTAAATTTTCGTTCATTAAGATTTAATACACTTCTTGGAATTTTATTGTAACAATTTACACAGAACCCCATAAAGGATTTCTGTACTTTGGACAGACGGAATCGTGGCACAGCCAGCCTATCTTTGCCTCTAGTATTAAAATTATGTCTATCGCTTCTTTTTCAAATAATTGCAAATTTTTCTTTACGTACATAATATTTTCATATATAAACTGACAAGGTACCGTTAGGATATTTATCGTTTTAAATAGTTCTCTCAGAGATTCACGAGGGGGCAAGTTATATATCGCAGTACGCATACGTGTTGGCGTTCATATCTTTTACAATAAGGGTTGTGACATCAGCAAACAAGGTAGTCTTGTGGCAAGCAATATTTATTTGGAAGATCATTACACACGAAGAACAAGAATGGTCCCAATATACTGCCTTGAGGCACTCCAAAATGATTTTATTTATATGCATGTCTGAATGCCACTCATTTATTTTTATTGATAGTTAGTGATCTAGTTATTGATTTTGTGTAAGAGCAATTTGTCGTCCACAAAATCGAATGCCCTGCTTATGTCTAGGACGTTAGCCGCGACTAGTGAGCCCTCATTTATAGCCTAGGTGACTAACGTGGTAAAAGTAATAAAAGATAAAATTAAGTAATACAGCGGCACATAACTTAATTACTTTGGTGTTTATGTCATCCGCTCCTGCTTTTTGTGTTATTAAGATTTTTATTATTTTAAATATTTCCATGAAGTCTGTTAGGTTTCATTTGAGAAATATTGTATGTTTGTTATTCATATTTATAGTTTGGCTTATGTCGTCAACATCGTCATAACAAAAGTCATCGAGTCACCATGTCACTTATTTGTTTTGCATTTTGCGTACTCTCGTTTGGTTATTAGTGTTTTCGTTGATTACTGCCCAATTACCCTTACATTTACTTTAGTTATTGTCTATATATTTATTGTTTTGTAGTTGTCTGGACTTATTAATACTCTTTTTTGGTATGTTGCTGTACGATTTATATTTTTCATTTAGTATTTTTCTATTCTTTTAGTTGTGTATATACATATTTACATTCAACCTAAAATATTTTGAAACAGACGTAGGTATGCACTTACTTTTGATACATAACATTCTGAGACTCGGAGAAAGCCATCATTAATTGTCCGATCTTAGGGTCATATGCCTTTGTCACTAAGTTTTCTAGCAGTGCAGTATCAGTAAGACCGAGACATAAGGTTAAAACCCTTACTCCAGTGTGTTCGAAGAATGGCGGCATCTGAAAAAGAGATATAAATAAATAAATAGATTTATATATGGTGGCATTGGTGGTACAATATTATTTACAGTTTCAATGTTTTTACCATATTAGGCGTACAAGTTTTTTATGTATTAAACTTAAAATTTACATTCGGATACTTAATCTTAACAAATAGAAAATTAAGTGAAACAGAGTTACAATTTCAATTTTAAATAAGTACTATTTTTTAAGTAATCGCCTACCATAGTAAGCTCTTTTACATAAAAGTTCATTTTAAATAGGTTATTATTGTCCATTTCTCTGTCCATATATCCCTATGTACGCCTAAATCTTTATAACTACGATGGATGTTGTTGCGTTTGTGTTAATAGACAGAGTGATTGAAGAGGATTTTTATATGAGTAATAAAATCCATTAAATAGGTTTAGTGTCAGCGTTGCACCAGTGCGAAGCCGGGGTAGTCGCTTGAGTTTAATAAAACCCTCAAAAATATGTGCAACTCTTTATCCGGAGAATCTAAAGCGATGATGGCACGCTATAGTATTTAACTTACCGCTATACATTGGCTGAAGTGCAGGACAGCCATTTTAGAACCACTATAGATGGGAAATGCCACAAGCTTAGTGAGTGTGACTGTTGAAGCAATGTTCACGATCGTTCCTCCAGCTCCACCCTCATCCTTCTTCATGTGCTTGATCCCTTTCAAACTGAAGGAGACTAATCCTTGCTGAAAATATAAAAAATATTATTTCTATCCAACAATACATTTTCATTAATAAACATTTATCAGGAATAGATACTTAAAGCTTTTTCAATTTTTTATTAGGGGCTCGTTAGGCTGCGCGACTTTCGCTGCGTCATATGTCGTGTACCTTATTTTATTTTATTTCATAAAAAAGAGACCCTAGTATGACTTGAAACTAGTCGATTCAAATCTAATCATTAATGTTATTACTTCTTTAAAACCTATAGGTTTAACTGCCCTCGTCAAGAAAACCCTAATCATTTCTTATTTCAAACAAAAAAAAAATTGTCGATGATTACCCAATTGACATCAGAAGCAGTTCTCCACATGTTAGGAGCGTCAACCATGATACCAGCATTGTTGATGATGACGTCAACCTGCTTGAACTGAGCGAGCACGGCGTCCCACGCGCTCTCGATGTCCTCCTCCTTGCTCACGTCACATTTCACGAATATCACTTTATTGCCGTAAGCCTTGTTCAGACTTTCAGCTTTAGCTTTGCCCAGGTCCTCGGCGATGTCTAAGATTGCTACATTCTGTAATGAAACAATGAATGTAAGGCTAGGTACCTACCTATACATAGTTTCATAATACCTACCTATAAGTTTGTACCGGCATTTCTTCTCAGTGAAGTCATATAGGAAATGCTAGCTTCGTCCAGACTTCATTTCACATAGAAAAGTGATATTTGCAAAAATGGGAAGGATCGGGTCTCCGGGATCTTCACTTACATGGCGAAACACAACGCTGTGATTGTTGCACGCCAGTTTTCTGTGAGGCCTTGGTTAGTTATACTGCGAATCGCGTTCAGAGGGCCACGGAGGTACCACGTGTTAAAGCGTGAATCTGATTCGATCCGTGATCTGATGAAGATTCACACTTTAACTCGTCCTGGTAGGCCCTCAGATCTGCACACAAAATACATACATAGTAAAAAGAACAATAAATCTAGGTTCCCTATGCCTAGAGATACTCATTTTTTATATCTATCCCATAGATAGATCTTTAAAAATGTCATTTAGACTTCTAATACATTTTTTTTACTAAACTGAGAAAGATCGTGCGTCAAGGATTAGGCCTCCGGTACCGGTAGTTTCCTTACTACAAAAACAAACTTCTATTATGAACACCGAAACTATTCCATTTTCAAACAGAGAAAGAGGCTGGCTGATTAAAAAAAACATTGCTTCATCAATTTACCATAGCACCTTCCTTGAGGAACGCTTCAGCGTATAATGCTCCCAAGCCCGAAGCTCCACCAGTAATCAAAAAGGTTTTATTAGATGCATCCCACTCCGCCATTTCTATGAACGTTCACCTACACTGTCAATTATTAACTAACGCTAAACCGCCTCGATACTTTTATAAAGGTATGTTATACTATAATAACCCTGATATTCACCTGTATTTATTTTCTATTTCTGTATAAAAAGACTAAGCATGATTAATTGATGTGCACACATCAAGCATATTGAAGACTACAAGGCATAAGAAAAGGGGGGGTGGTAACAAATATTACGTAGTTATAATCAAAACAAGTTTGTATCTTTAAAACAAAGCAGTCAGCTTCCTCAGCTGAAAAATATGAGAGTTCAGATTTTGTACCTTAATTGCGTTTGTCACGATGAGGAAACGTTTTTATTAAAATTAACGATTGAATAGAGCTCAAGTTATTAAAGTATCTTAGATATCAAAGTATCTATGAGTATAGGAGAGACATGTTCCGCAAATGGGCCTCACTGGCGTGCAACAATCACAGTGTTGTTCGCCGTGTTAGTGAAGATCCCAGAGACCTGATCCTTCCCTTTTAGGATCAAGCGAACTGCCAATTAATCGACTTTAATACAAAAATATATTTGGATTGACATCCATTCTCAGTATTAGTTCTTTATTGATGTATTGAATTTCGAATAAAAACCTAGATCGATCGAGTACAAGGAACTACTCATTAGACAGACTGGGATGGACTGGTATATTTTTTATGAATCCGATCATTTTTGGGTATGTAGGTATCTACTAAGTTGAGGACAGGACTGAGCACACAGTGACGGTGTGGCTGACTGCTTGGGCTGAGTACCCACGTGTTCCAAGGGAAGTGTTCGGCGGCGGCGAACCCTCGCGTCCGGCCTTATTCGAGACCATGGTGTGTAGCGAGTGGAACTTGAATAGATCCCTCGACACGTTGCGTGTGATCAATCAGCTGCCCAGCCACCGCGCCAACCTTGCAGTCAAAATTGTAAGCAGTACTTTTATTACAAGCAACTTGTGTGCATCTACCTTATTACGAAGTTTCTACCGACGTCCCTCAGATTGCAATAAATAATTTATGTTAATTGTAAAAAAAAGACAAATATTGTCAGGTACTGATTTATATAGTATATAGTCGCGGCTGTCGTGGTAAAAGATTCGATACGTTTTTTATTTTATTTATTTATTTACCTATTTTATTTTTTACAAAACACGTTGGGCAATCTACTGCGGCTTTATCTAGTTTTTTACAATAATTATAAGTTTGACGTGCAAAAGTGCTGTTTTATGGCCTATTTACAAAAATAAATTTTCATTGTTACTATTGCACTCGATTGTGCTCTTTTTGGCACAGTACCTACATATGGTTGTGATTGTATAGGTTAAAAACAAATTGACATTTTGTTTGTCATTAAACAAACGAATAAGAAATTATGCGTGTGCGCGCGCCTGTGTGTGTGTGTGTGTGTGTGTGTTTTTGTGTGTGTGTGTGTGTGTGTGTTTGTGTTTGTGTTTGTGTGTGTGTGTTTGTGTGTGTGCGTGTGTGTGTATGTGAGTGTATGTGTGTGTGTGTGTGTGTGTTTGTATTTGTGGGTTTGTATATATGGGTATATGTGGAATGGCTAGGACATGGATTTTTTGTCAGGGGAAAATCATGTAATGACTTCTCCCGCCCAGAGTAATTCGAGAAAGAGTGTCAGACTCTTATCGACTAAAAACTCCCCGTTCCTACACCTGCTCTGGGTCGAGGCCGCGGTGACTCATTGCACTTAACCCGCAACCCCGGCTGAACATCAGCCCCATAGGGCCCCGTCTGTAGTGGTCCATAGGCTCTTTGAGGCGCGCGCGGAACGCTACGCGCCGTACGCTCGGGTCTGGTTCTGTTCGGGCGGCGAGCTACCCTTACGGGTCGATTACACCTAACGAGTACAGTGGTGAGTCAGTTCAGTTTTGATGAAGACTTCTGCAATCGATCGAAAAAAAACGAATTTAAACGGGTTTTAAATCGCCTGTTACTAGATATTATTAACGAATTGTGCTTGCACACTGCTTGATGACGAATAACGAACGAGTGGCGAGTGGCCGAGTCAAAAGCGAGTGCGTGTTTATACGTACCGAGCGGGATAGCGAGTCGCTGCGGGGGCAGAAGAATGAAGTGGGGTGGTGGGTACTCGGCCTAGTAAACAAATTGGGATTCTAGTAAAGGGTCGATTACACCTAACGAGTACAGTGGCGAGTCAGTGTCCTCGGCCGAGTGCTCGGTTGGTATAAACACTATAACGAGTGCTCGGCCGAGTACTCGGTCGAGAAGAGAGGCGAGAGAGTCACTAGAATCCCAATTTGTTTACTAGGCCGAGTACTCACCACCCCACTTCATTCTTCTGCCCCCGCAGCGACTCGCTATCCCGCTCGGTACGTATAAACACGCACTCGCTTGTGACTCGGCCACTCGCCACTCGTTCGTTATTCGTCATCAAGCAGTGTGCGGGTTTGTGTATTTTTTCAAACAATTTATTCACCAACCACAATCCACAATTCGTTATTAATATCTAGTAACAGGCGATTTATAACCCGTTTAAATTCGTTTTTTTTCGATCGATTGCAGAAGTCGTCAGCAAAACTGAACTGACTCGCCACTGGTGTAAATACGTGTAAACACCCACTCGGTTCGGCAACTCTCTCGGCCGAGAGCTTATTTACTGACTCACCACTGTACTCGTTAGGTGTAATCGACCCATGACTCTCTCGCCTCTCTTCTCGACCGAGTACTCGGCCGAGCACTCGTTAAAGTGTTTATATCAACCGAGCACTCGGCCGAGGACACTGACTCGCCACTGTACTCGTTAGGTGTAATCGACCCATTAAAGGGTCGATTACACCTAGATGTATCTAGGTGTAATCGACCCTTTATATACACACTACACACTTATTTATACTACACACTCTTTCGGTCATGGTGACCGGCCGGTCATGGTGACCGGCCATCTTTCTAAACTAACCAACTTAGGATAAGATATTAAAGTGCACGAGGGATAAAGATAGCAACCGATAAATGATGAATAAAACGCAACATTCCTACAAAAAGCACGTGTTTTCTCGTTTTGGTATGATACCGATATTTTATCTCAACGATACGACCGGGTCATCAAAACAAAATAATTAAGGAACTGAATGAAGTACTTATCTACTTACTGATAAAAACAAAAATGTTATCCCAACAAATACTCGTAACAATGGCAGGTCTATACTTGTTTGCAACGGCTCTTTATTATCTACAATTTAAAGGCCGTCATTGATCTAAATTATATTACTTACAAGACATAATTTTGACACTGAATAAATCCTCCTGGGGTCACGAGCTGTCGAGAAAATCATCAAATGACTTCTCTCGCTCAGGTCGAGACGAGTGTCAGATTCTTACTAAGAATCAAACTTTTTTTGGCATCAAGTTACGGTACGGGTAGGAAAGAACAAGATGATTTTAAGTTAGTAAGAGTTCTAAGTCTGTCTCTTTCACACACGCTCATTGTCGGAAACTCTTCAATATTTTATTTTTAGTTTGCAAATATTACGTTAGGCAAAAGAGCAAACACCATTCAGACCTTGAGAATCATTTAATAATTTCTTTCGCCAGGGTATGACAAAAGGTAGTGCCAGACTCTAACTGGTTTTCGTACAGGCAAGAAATGGTCCAAAATTTTAAGGAAGCTAACCTACCTACCTACATTTGTTAATCAAGGGAAAAACAACAACGTTTTTTTTAACAACATTTTTTATTCCGCCATTACTTTCTCAAATTCTTTGTAAACGTTATCCATGGCAGATGTGATGTCTCGAGCCGGTTTGTCGTCAACACTCAGCCAAATAGAACCTGGGTTACCATTTACTAACATCTTAATAAGTGCTGCGACGGCTGACTCTTTTCTGTAAATGTAAAAAAGAAAGCAATTATTCGATCAGTAAATTAAAAGTAAAAAAACTGTAGTAAGAAAATATTGCAAAGAAACTAAATCTAACAATCATCTATTTACATCATTTTCATTGATGAGCTTGGAAGCATTACCCACTAACAAAAATTTTTCCTTTAAATAAATAAACAATTAAATTACTCCTTTAAATAAATAAACTTCTCAAAGAACTTACTTTTGGCGTATGTAATTGTTAGCAACGTTAACGACTATTTCATCTCCAAGTTTCGGATCCCACGACTTGGTCTCTAAATTCTGCACTAGAGGCGTGTCCGTGCATCCTAAGCACATCGTCAGAACTCTTACACCGGTATTTTCATAGAAGGGGTCCATCTAGAAATAAGATACATGCAATTAGAAAAAAACACAGACATCTAAAAAGTGCACGTGAGTAACAACAAAAAAGCTATTGTAGCTAGCATCAATGCTTGATGAACTCGATGAAGTCATCCGAATTCAAAGCGTGCTGTTGTTAACCGCTTAGCTTACTTATGTACTCTATCTAATGTACTCTTCAATCACTACTTCAATACGATGCAAACTGACTCACCGTTAAACATTGACTGAAGTGCACAACAGCGATTTTGGATCCAGAATAGATTGGCAAAAAGGTTAATTTTGATAAGCCCAAAATTGAGGCGACGTTCAGAATTGTCCCACCAGCTCCGCCCTCATCTTTCCTCATGTGGCTGACGCCTTTAAGAGTAAAGGAGACTACTCCTTGCTGTAAACAATATTCAAGCATAATGGCCCTTCTTTTAAGTGGTTGACAATAAAAGAGTAAAAAGAGAGTTCAATCACTCGATTGAACTCTTAGGTAGATTTTATGGAACTGGTAATATATTTAAAAAAGAAACCATACCCAATTAACATCGGAAGCAGTTCTCCACATGTTAGGAGCGTCAACCATGATACCAGCATTGTTGATGATGACGTCAACCTGCTTGAACTGAGCGAGCACGGCGTCCCACGCGCTCACGATGTCCTCCTCCTTGCTCACGTCACATTTCACGAATATCACTTTATTGCCGTAAGCCTTGTTCAGACTTTCAGCTTTAGCTTTGCCCAGGTCCTCGGCGATGTCTAGGATTGCTACATTCTGTAATTAAAAAAGTAATTAAAATTGATATTTTAATACCACTCTTACGTACGCGAAGCTAATACTTTTAATATTAATAATAAAACACTATCAATTCTATGTGCTACCTATTCATAGGTTTGAAGTCGATGCCAAGCCTACATAATATAATAAGCATTATACATGATCACACTCACACTCAGCCTCCTCCTTTTTTGAAGTCGGTTAAATAGTATTTAAGGAATGTAGAGTCAACATGTGTAATCATGTTTAAACAAGTTAATATTATGAGAGTAAAAAAGAACATCCTAAATACAACTTTCAAAACGACGCAACGTAAGGAGTACAGATAGACTTATCTGTCTGTAGGGTTTCTGTAGGGAGTAACGATGGCTGGGTGTGATCGGATGCAAGGGGTTGAAGAACGAGCTAAACAATGTATGCGGCAATCTTAGTGTTGGAGTTATAATTCAGTAGATATTTCATAAAATATTATATGTAGGTATTTGTACATCTTTCTAATACTTTAGTTTATCCTGTACATTCATTCAAAAGAGCGTTTTTAGAAGAAAATCAAAAGTACCCGGAAAAATACTTTGATATTATTTTTTGAGGAAAAACATATTTGTAATTCTCTATCTACCTAGGTGGTTTTGTCTAGAAAATGAAATACCTTTGCTCCGTGTTCTAAACAAGCCTTTGCGTATTCCGCGCCAAGTCCGGAAGCACCTCCCGTTATTAAAAAAGTTTTGTTTTTAATGTCCCACATCGCAATGATACGTCCGTCCACTTATCAGTTGTTGTTACATTTACTCTGATTGCAAAAGTAACATGTCTTATTTATATACGTTACTTATAATTTTATCTTAAAAACTTAGGCGTCGTACATAATTTGGATGTTTTTATGCTATAGATGGGCTATGAGCAGTGGCAGCCACGGGTACTTGTAATACCGTAATAAGCTACTATAACTGCGTTGCCGGCCTGGGTTGTGGAATTGAAGTGTATATTTGGGGGCTTAGGGTGGGTGGAAATGTCCTCCGGTTCCCTCAATCACATATCGAAGATCAACGGAAGCGTTGTTTCACGCCGATGTCGTATGAGGGCGTATTATCGTGGTATTATATGTTACTAGCTACTCCCACGTGGTTTCACCCGCTGCTCGGCTCCATTTGATCGTAGCGTGATGTTTTATAGCCTATAGCACTCAGGAACATTGTAGCTATCTATCAATGAAATAATTTTGAAAATCCGACCTGCGGTTTCAAAGATTACCCCCTACATACAAACTTACAAATTTTACCTCTTTATAATATTAGTATAGATTGTTACAATGGCGTTGGCATATCAAAATCAAACGTTGAAAATACATCTATGTTGCCGTTGCCCGTATGAAGTAGTCATAAAAAGATATTCCAACAAATCGATGTTAATAATCCAAAGTTATCGACTAGGCCATAGTATTAGTAAGCTGAAATGGCAATAGATCTATCCCAATTGCAGGATAATCATAAACTGTTGAGGCTGTTAAACTGTGTTTGCTGGATGGGATATCTTGTTTCAGCAGATGGAGTATGGGGCGTCTTCTTCTGATAATATCCTCAAAGTCACCTTATTTAAGGAAGGGAAATCATCAAATGGCTTCTACCGCCCAAGGCGAGGCGATAGGGAGTGTCGGAATTTGATTGACTAAAAACCACCACGTTGCTTCTACTGGTACAGGCCAAGGCCGCGGTACCTTAGTCGCTTGACCTGCAACACCAGCTAGCACATCCTCAAAGTAGTTGGCAGTTGAATTGATACATTTGTTGATATAAGTTTGAGCTCAGTGTCGTGCCATCGGAGAAGCCTATATCCAGGTCTATAAGTAGCTGTGGAAACACTTCGGAGGAAACAACAAATCCAACGTTCATATAAATATTTCTAACAATACCATCTAAGTACCAGGAAGGAAAAAAAGTACCTTTAGAGTAGACACTACCGTTTAAATACAGCTTTAGGATCCTTGACAGTTAAATATCTGATAACAATCAATTCGCACGCCAATCTGAGAGTCGGGTAAACAAATTGTGTCATTATCGTTATTTACTTTTGTAGTAATTTGTGCACTATACGTGAGTTACCTAAGTACAGCAGCTGCAGTTGCAAGCGTAATGATGTAGGTATTTCAGCCCCGGCCTAGAGCAGAAGAAGGAACGGGGAGGTTTTTACTTTTCAGACAGTAAGAATCTGACACTCCCTCTTAACCCGGCCAGGGTGGGAAAAGACATTTGATAATTTTACCCCTCAAAAAAATTGGAATCATAAAAAACCAAAACAGAAGGCATTACTTAGACAAATAATAGGTACTTTTTCTACATCACCCAAAGGTTGTCTGGTGAGAATACCTATGGCATTAAGTTCTCATATATGTATGTACCTAATATTATGTTGCATTAAGTTTAAATAAATCATACGAGGTTGGTTCGAATTCTTTAAGTTTATAAAATATTATATTGGGATGGCCAGGATTCGGAAAAGATCTTTACGGAGAGGTAGCGATGGGTAGTGCATTCAGTGGCAAAATGTTATCTCAAGTTAGAGTCCAATACTCCCTCTGGCCATACCTTGGGCGAGAGAATTCATGTGGTGACTTACTGTCCTCAGAAAATAAAACAAAAAAAAAATATGTCACAGAAACTTTGGCTATTAGACTGATGTACCGGTGATGTAGATATGTCACCGGAAAATAACAAGATCCGTAAGTTTATCAATTTACTAGGAAGTTTATAAACTTTCGTAAGATTCTAAACAGGAGATAAATTGTAATATTTTACGTCTACATTTTCGTAAATTGATAAACTAACTGAACTCACTCGTAAAATAATAAGTAAGCAGTAAGCAAACGCTACGCGCGATCTGATTGGTTTGCAGTCACGTGTCACTTCTCCTTCCTCGCGGCCGCCATTGCTGACCACGGAACTGTATTTTAGCAAGTAACTGTTAAATAGCTTCAAAGACCTTGTACTTAAAACTAGACTGTGCACCAATTTTTTTTATTTAGCTAAAATGTGCTTTATGCCGTTATCTATAGGGTAGCTATTTTCTTAAAAGCGTTAACAAACTAAAAACGGTCCAGGCGAGAGGGCTCCTCACGGTAGTGTGTCCTTGTCTCACATCTTGCCAGCTCAACTAACCTTAGGGGTTGGTAGAAATTGTAGAAAATTAAATATAATTATGTTTTACGTTTTAACAAAACAAACAATTCATACACTACAAAACGTATATAAATATCTTTATAGTCCTTATAATTAATAGTCAATTTGTGGTATTATACGAAAAATCATTAATACCGAGTAAACAGTAGTACTTGAATGTTTGTGCTTGGTAACAATTAATGCAAGATGGTGGTTTGCTGATTTCGCTGTTTGGTCGATTCTTGTGTTTCGATTTGCGATTTAGTACATTTTCGTTTTTACCGGTTTGTTTTTCAGCAAATATGTTGAATTCTTGTTGTGTGACAGGGTGCAAAAATGAATCCTATACCGGTAGCATACCGGTAGCCGCTTTTTAAAGTAAAAAGAACTATTGTAACCGTTAGGGTAACAATGAATTTTCTTGAGCAAAGATTTTTTTTACTATATCGCAGTAGATAGGGAGAAGATACGACTAACTGTTTTTGTCCTTTGTGTCCTTTTCATTTTATTATTTTAAAGATCTGGTTAATACCAATGATATTATAAGTAAACAGGTGTAAATAGGTTATAAGCGTCCAGTAAGTGTTACATTAAAATGTGGTCCAATGTAGGAGCAAATACGAGACGTGTAAGCTGGACGATCATCTTTAATTAAGTGTATATTATTATACTTAATAACTTACACTACTTATGGGGAGAAATCTCACACACTACCCTTCCCCGTTTTTTAGAAAGTAAAAAATACAGCCTAAAATACATTATTTCTTATAATAAAAACTTATTAAACATTTACTTTAAATATTTGCACTGTTGACAATTACTTATAATAGAATTTTTGAATGTTTTATAGAATAAGATAATGTAATGTAAAAAATTAAGCTTACCAAACTTGTCACATTTGCAATTACATATTTCATTAACCATTTTAACTTTATACTTTATCTCTGTTTATAGTTGTTGTGAGGTACCTACATAATATTCCATTTACATACCTACTAAGCACATTATACAGGACCCTCTGGTACCTGTTTTTATTTATTTCATTATTTTCATTTATCATAGTCATTTCATATTGTGCTTAGTTTATTTATTTGTTTATTTAGTGTCATTGTCCTTTAGTAATTTTAACAGAGAGCGTTCGACTACACCATTATGAAACTACGGAAATGATCACTAAATTGTGCTTTACGATGTGTACCTAATATAATTAATTTGACTTACTTATCCTTTTGTAGCCTACCAACATAAACACAATCAATGAATTGCTTGGTGAACAAAATATTACATTGATCTTAAGTGATCAGCTCTCAGTCATACGCCAAAACTTATGTACCAAGATATTCCAAACAATCTAATACCAACCTACATACTTATACAAACAATATAATTTCTCCATAGCCTACCTAGTTTCGAATTTCATTCATTTGATTTGTTGAGCCAAAGCGAAGTGCAGTTACTGTTTATTGGTGTCAAGTAACATGATTCTTATACAACATGACACTCCATATGACTTCATTTTCTATATTAGGACATGGGAACATTCCTATCGGATGTTGTCCCTTGCACCTATATACTTGACAACTTTTCTTAAAATATTTCCTTGCCAAAATTGTAATTATATTAATCTGAGGCTTCAACATGTGTTCAATGTAGTATAGAAAAACTTTTTTTGGTTATCTCTCCTGATTTACAGAGCTTGAATAGGAAAAAAATGCTTAATATGACAGTACATCAATTCACCCCTAAAATTAAGCACCTTTTGCCTGCCCATCCAGCATCTGACCAATCCCACGAATTGGAACTGATTAAATGTATTGGTCAAAAAAACTTAAATTTAAGACTTAAAAGCTACGGGAAGACTTTAAGCCTCAAACATGTAGGAAATAAGGCTACATTATGACAAAAATTGCGTAAAACTGTATTGTTTAGCAATGTATAAAAATAAATCAATATTAAAAGAAAACAGTCTTTTTCATTCCATCATCAGGTATACTGCAGACCTTCATTATACACAATCCATATAGGTGCAAAGTTCTCATCAATATAAATGAATTAAGTCAAAACACGAGGTAGTTACTGTAAACCGTTCTGGAGTTCCCTGAGTTGTCTTTCATTCTCATCTTCAGACCCTTAATGACAGTCATGACCAATCTTGGTGCAAAGTGCTCATCAATACGATTCATTTAAAAAACACAAGGCAACTTCTTCAAATAGTCAAGGAGATCCCTCGACTGTCTTCCGGCTCCATCATCAGGTCGAGTTCGAACATCGGCAAGTTGTAGCGTTGTCAAAAGCCTACTAAAACCACATGCAAAAGCACCACTCGTACCTTCAATTTTTGAAAGTTCTCAATTTCTCTGGTCTTCCATCATCAGATCCTGATTTCCTTATCATGGGACCTTTCTAAAACTATCTCGTTGCCAACAAAAAAGAATTATCAAAACCGGTTCATAAATAACGGAGATATCGGCGAACAAACTTAAAAATATATATATATGGTTGAATTGAGAACCATCCTCCTTTTTGGAAGTAGGTTAAAAATATACATATTGGTTTTTTTTACAAAAAATTAGGTTGGTGAAGTTACGCTAGTTTGGTAGTATCAATATACCATGATACTTAAATAATAGTTTTTAC